TAACATTATATATTCAGTAGTACTTCTTTTGACATTTAATTTTATAATACCTAATTGCAGATTTTGTGTGCCTTACTAAAGCACTCTTAAGCTGGTGCCTGCTCTCTTACAACATAGATCTTCATTTTAGGAACAACTGTCAGTTCCATGTAACTTGTTTTTTCTTTTGTTCTAGCATGTGTGTAGCCACCGCCTAATGTAATAAATAAAACTTCACAAAACAAATTCTGTTTATCTCTCCCTGATTCCATTGCCCTGCCAATCCCTGAAACTACTCCTCTGATTTTGATGTTTATTATTTTTATGCATATTTCATAGTTCTCCTGTATATGTCTGTACCCTTAGACAATACATAGTATTTATTGCTTTACATTATTCAATATCACCTTTCATAAATTATTCTGAATTGTTTATTCTGATGTTTGTGAATTATCTAAGTTGGTAAATGTTTAATTTCTTTTAACTGCTATGTAGTATACACTTCATATATCCATTTAAAAAAATTATGAGCTACCATTTATTTACTTTTTGAGGTGTAGTTGACATATAACATTATATTAGTTTCAGGTGTAGAGCATAATGATTTGATATTTGTATATACTGCTATATATCTACCTATGGAATGGACCTTTGTATTGATTCCACTGTTTTGCTATTGTAAACAGTATGGCAAGATGTTCTTATGTATGGTCTACTTGTACACAATTTTATAAGAATCTCTCTAGAATATAAGGGAAAAGCGCTTCCTTAAAGTGGAATGCCAAATAATAAATGTGAAGGGAACGAAGGAGGGAGAAAAATACTATTTTAAAAAAAACATAGTGCCAGTTTATTCAGGCAAGTCCATCAGTAGCTGCTAATACCATGGGACAAAAGTGTGAGGAGCAGGATATTTCCATAGTCTTATCCTCTTTATGGATACTTGCAGGTAATAATTATCTAGTAATCAAAAACAGGAGAAGAGTAACTTCACAGTGGACAAACCTTGTAAGCACTGACTACCTCAAACCAAGTGATAAGAGTTAAACATCACCATTGATGGGACAGTCTGACGTCTGTGCCTACCCAGGTTGATGCACTGAGAAGGATACAGCATCACTTACATAGTACTCCTGCCCACAGTGTACAACCTGCATCTGATCGTGAAGAGATATCAGATTAATCCAAATTCAGAGACATTCTACAAAATAAAAGGCTTGTATTCTTAAGCTATGTCATTATCTTAAAAAACAAAGAAAGGCTGAGGAGCCGTTTCATAAAATAGGAAACTAAAAAGGTGACATGGAAAGGTAATGTACAATCCTGGGTTGAACCCTAGACCAGAAAAAAATGCTATGAAAGATATTATTGGAATCATTGTCAGAATTTGAATAAGGTGTGTAGATTAGATACTAGTATTGCAGTAATGTCAATTACCTGATTTTGATAATTGTACTGTGGTTAAATGAGTGAAGCTCAGTATCTTAAGGAAATCCATGCTGAAATATTTGAGGGTAAAAGGCATAGCATCTGCAATTTATTTTCAAGTGGTTCAGGAAAAAATATTGTTTTTACATACAGAGATACAATGGTAAAGCAGCTGTGACAAAATTTTGGCAATTTGTGGATCTGGGTAGAGTGAACTATTGTTGCAACTTTTCTGTATATTTGACATTATTAAGCAAAAAACCTTCCTGAGGTATGCCTGGGAGTAGAATTGCTGTGGGCTATGAATATTTAAATTTACTAGGCAGTGTCAAATTGTTTTCCAGTGTGGTTGTGCTTATTACATGTCCATTGTCTCAAATCTTTACCCACACTTATTTAGTTAAATTTTTTTTATCTTCGTAGGTATGAAATAGTATGTCATTGTGGTTATATTGGTGGTCTGATTATAGTAAAGTTGAACATTTTAAAAAATGTTTATTTAAAAGTAAGTCATTAAGGACAATATGGAGGTTCCTTGAAAAACTAAAAATGGACTTATCATATGATCCAGCAGTCCCACTCCTGGGCATATATCTGTAGAAAACTATAATTCAAAAAGATACATGCACCCCAGTGTTTACAGCAGCACTATTTACAATAGCCAAGACATGGAAACAACCTAAGTGTCCACTGACAGATGGTAAATAAAGGAGATGTGAGATATATATATGATGGAATACTACTCAGCCATAAAAAAGAATGGAATAATGCCATTTGCGGCACATAGATGGACCTAGAGATAATCATATTATGTGAAGTAAGTCAGACAGAGAAGGACATTTATCATATGATGTGGTTTATATGTGTGTGGAATTGAAAAAAAAGATACAGATTTACAAACCAGTAGTAGACTCACAGATGTAGAAAACAAACTAGTTACCAGGGGTAAGGGGGGAGGAGGGGTAGATTAAGAATTTGGGATTAGCAGATTCACATTACTATATGTAAAATAGATAAACAGCAAGGACCTACTGTATAACACAGGGAACTTTATTCAGTTTTTTGTAATGAGCTGTAATGGAAAAGAACTGAAAAAATATTTATGTATGTCTGTCTATGTATAACTGAATTGCTTTGCTGTACACCTGAAACTAACATTGTAAATCAACTACACTTCAATAAAAAAAAAAGAAAAAATAAAAGTAAGTCATTAAGATTTACTCTTTTAATGAATTGCTTGTCATATACTTAGCCATTTTTTAACTGAGTTCTTTGAAGACTTTTCCTTACTAGTTTTCTGTATGTCTTAATATATTCTGGAAATGAATCTTTTGTCAATTAGATGCATTGTTGTTTTCCACATACTTTTGGAAGAAGCTTAAGGAAAATATAAAATTGAATTATATTTTATTTGAGTTACACAGAATAAAGTAGGTCAGGGGCAAAGAAAACATTGCACATCAAGTGTGCAGGGGCCAAGGGGCTGGCTTCTCTTTACAGATTTCTTCTCTCCTGGCTCAGTTAAATAATGTGAGGCAACTTGAACTTGTGTTCTTACCTCTGGCGCTCTGAAAAAGGTTAATTTTGGAAGGGCTGTCTCCTGTCTCCAGTGTGTTTCATTTAAAGATTTCCTGAATAACTGTTCTTCCCTCCCCTTCTAGACTTAAAAAAAAAAAAAAACTCCATTGCTAAATAATGAAACTCTTGCATTGCTAAATATTGGCCAGTGCTTGGATTGTGTAAGCTGCTCGGAGTGGTACTGCAGTACCTACAGAGCCAAAGGGTAATTCAGTAGCAACACTATCTGGTTCCTTCTCTAATGTGGATCAAATCCTTTTCAGAGATGAAGAAAGGTTAAACCACTTGGAGTGCACTACTGAAAAAGATAATCTGATGATCATTCATGAACTTAACTTTATTGCTTGCTTTCTTAAGGTGATTAGGTATTAGCTTTGCATGTGGGCAAAAACAAACACACCAAAACCCACCCAAAAACCCCAAAGTAAAATCAGAAAACTTTAGTCTTCCTTTGCAAGGATACTAAATACATTCTCAGCCCCAGCCCCATTTTATAAGGGAAGACACCAAGTTAGGTGACTTAACCTGTTACCCACACTCATGGAGCTAGCTGGTTATGGTCCTAACAGAAGTTGACTTTGGATTCCAGATCCTCTTTACTTTCTACTCCAGTGCATACGCTGCTATTCCTTCAAAAAAAAAAAGGATATATTACAGCTGTTTCTATGGATGCACACCCAGGTTCTCCAGAGGACAGAGAACAGCACTCTCCTCACTGATTTCTTAGTAAACTGAAAAGTGAGAAAATCAAAGAAGATCTTTCAGGGAATTTAACATCTTAAGTCTTGATTTTTCTAATGTGGAACATGAATTCCTCTGTGATACACCCCAGAGGACAGATGGACGGCCATATCACTGGCATATAGCTACTTTTTATTCTTTGAAGATCTTCTCATCTATTATTTTTATTTAGTGATTAGAACTGGATGGCAGAAGTCATTTTTCGATTTACCCAAGTTATGCTACTTTAAAAATCTTTGAATTATTTTCAGTATGGAAAATACAGTAACAGTATAAAGAGGAAAAGTCGTCCTCTTGCCCAGAGATAACCACTTACTGTTTCCTTTTTGACATTTTTACTGTGTATGTATTTCATAGAGTTAAGAATAAACCATAGTTTTGGATCCTGGCTTTTTTCACTTAACATTACAGTGTTTATTAATGGATGCACTGTATCTCACTGTCTGGATCGACTACAATAGAAAATACTACAGTGAACACTGTTGCCTACATTTCTGACTATCTTCTTATGTCAGAGTCCTAGAATTGGAATTATTGAATAACCAGCAAAACTATTTTTAGCGTCTTCACGCCAAACAGATTTTGACAGAGCTGCTCCGAGTTCCACACACATACAAATTGAATATGAGAGTACCTGTATCATTTCTGTCTTTGAACTTCATCATTAAACAAAAATGTTGCTCATTTGTTCATGTAAATAGGCTAGTCTTTGTCTAATTCAGGTTTCTTTGATTATTAGTAAAAAAGGCTTGGATATATTTATTAACTAATGTTGTTTCTATAAATCCAGTTCATGAACTTTGCCAGCTTTTTTGCGGGAGCTGTGTTTTTCTTATTAAATAATTTTTACATACTGAAAACACCAATCTTCCGCCATTTGTGATAAATAAATACCCCTGACCATTTTGCTTGCTTTTTGGCTTTATAGATTTTATCTGTGGCGAACATAAATCTTTGTTTTTACACAGTCTAGATCTAAACTTGGGGAGAGTTTGTTTCTGTGAGTTCTTTTGCTAATGGTATGTAGGGAGTAAATGCTGGCAGGAGGGTTATTGAGGGCTAAATACCTCCATAATGAGTTGAGATCATTGGGTACAAGCCATTTCAGGCAAACTCTTTTCCCACTGCCGTTGGCTTGTCTTTTATTTCTGAAATCTGCTTCATGTTACCCATTAAATGTATTTGTCTTCATTCAGCACAGTTAAAATAACCTCTTTGGTCAGTTGTTCCTCTGTCCTGTGGCATTTTCTCATGTCCTGATGCTTTCTTTTAAGGTATTATCCAAAGAGATGAGTCACCCATGGAAAAAGGGCTCTCTGGTCTGCGAGGAAGGGACTTTGAGCTGTCTGACGTGTTTTATTTCTCCAAGAAGGGATTGGAAGCCATTGTGGAAGACGAGGTGACCCAGAGGTTCTCCTCAGAGGAGCTAGTGTCATGGAATCTCCTCACAAGGACCAATGTAAATTTCCAGTACATCAGTCCGCGGCTCACCATGGTATGGGTGCTGGGCGTCCTAGTGCGCTACTGTATCCTACTACCTCTGAGGTATGTCTCCTCCCAGGAATTTGATGGTATAATTGGTTCAGCTTTTTTTGTTTTCCAAATTTTTTTAACAGAAGTATAGTTGGTGTACAGTGTTGTATGTTTCAGATATACAGCAAAGTGAGAAGCTTGCTTTTTAATCCATGTATGTAATGGTGATATGATAGTATTAATGGGATTAATCCCACCCACTGTGTATTAATCTGGACCCGTGTCACTCTTTCAGTCATAGTTTGAAGATGGATAGAAAAGGGAAGTTAGAAGAAAGAAGAGAGAGGATTTGCAGTTCCAGTCACCAGAGTGTCATCCAGACTCTCTGCTGTTCTGTAGCCGTTCATGGCTGCACAGGAAAGAAGAAAATTCCTGGGACTGGTTATCACATGGGAGAGAGAAGTTCAGAGGAGTGAATTGGTTCCATCCAGTTTCATCATGGTCACTCACCTTCCTTATTAAAAGTTCCCCAGTTGCGTCCCCTTTTGGTTCGAAGTCTGCGTGCCACCTCACGAGGAGGTACCCTCAAAGCCCAGAGCCACAGTTTGGAACGCAGGTAGCAGAGGTGACAGTGGCAGCGGCGTGAAGTGATGAAGGTCTGTCTAGCATGGTGGTGGCAGGTAGCAGGCACGTGGGCCAGTCGCGATATTGCTGCTCATTGTCTTGCTTCATTGCCCTGGACGTGGCCGTGGTGTGCTCTCCGTGGAGGTTTCCAGGCAGTTGCTATCCGCCAACTAAAATTGGCGCATGGGTTGAAGCCTCTTTACCATCCCTAGGATGGCCTGTACTTGCCTCATGCAGATTTATTACAGGGGAGAGGATTGCTTAAGTAGGTAAAGGCACATTTCTGAGGATCTCTTCCTGTTTTCTTGTGCTCGTGTTGCCAGAGTCTGATGCCAGGGCATGGTATGTCTTTTGGGAATCATTTCAGCTGTGATAACAAAGTGAAATTCAGATACATTTTTGCTTGATCATTATGCCAGTGTTCCCAAAGTGGGGTTCATGTGCTCTGGGGATGCACAAGACTAGCCGTTGGTATGTAGGAAGGAAATATTTGAGCTTTTATTTATTAGCATTTTCTAGTCTATTTATAATTCTGTTTTCATGCTTATAAAGAAACGAAACATCAGTAAAGTGGAATATCTAGGTGGACTCTTAAATCATCACTTGGGTCAGGCACCGTATCCAAGGCAACCTGAGGGCAGAGAGAGGATTTTACCACCCGGAGTACTTGAGATGTCCTTATTAGTTGGTTAGCTCTCCTCACCTGCTGTGGGTGCCCAACAAAGAGTGTTATGATTCTGTTACCTAGTTTAAACTGACATTCACAAAATAGACATGATTCTTGCAAAGATACCACAGATTTAGGACAATCCAGTAATGTAAGCACCCAAGAACAAGAAGACAATGGCAAAATTGACACTCCTAGGGGTAGTACATACTCTTCAATGTGGAAGAATTGCTTTGTAAATGCTTTTTAAAGGAAACAGTTGCTACAAAGTGAGCATTTAAAAACAGATTGTGCTAAAATTGATTTTAGTGATGGTTGCACAACTCTGTGAATATGCCAAAAACTGTTGAATTATACACTTTAAATGGGTGAATTGTATGACATGGATTTTATCTCAGTAAAGCTCTTAAGCAGAACAGACTGTGGCAGAAAACTTGTGTCTTCCGTGAGATCTCTCATGTTGGCTTAAACTGGAAAACAAGAGTTTTCTGGCCTGTTAATTTAGCAAATAAAAATGTTCAATGGTTTTGAACCCAGTTGTTAAACATGGTAAAATGTAACCTCTTCTGATTTAATATGTAGGAACAAGTTATTCTCATTAGGACAAGATGGCATTATTTTAAAACATCATTTTAAAACATTTGCGTAATTGATGGATGAAATTAAGCAGTCATTTAGTTATTGCATTACTGACTGACATGAAAATATGGCATCTAAAGAAAACTGAAATGAACCTTCAGATTGCTGGCATAGGTGTTAAACCAAGACTTGCACAAGGTTAAACACCTTAAATTATGAGACACTGTTTATTTTGAAAGTTTTAAAATCTCACCCTTTTCTTTTTGAATTTACATCTTTAAAAATGACTTTTCTTCTTGAGTGATTAGCACATTTATTAAGATTACTTTTCAAAAATGAGAAGGTGAAGATTAGAGGTGTTGTTAGTCATCTTGGTAACTAACTTATGAGTTAGCTTGAAACACACGAAGGTTAGATTTGCATGGAAGAATTCCTACATGGTGATATAATTTGGTGTTCTTATTATGATAGAGCCTTTATAAGTAAAACTTTCTTGCCATTTGCTGTAAATTTTAAATCCTTTTGAGAAGAAGTTGAATTGCACTCTTTTGCCTCGTCATTAAAAAACACAGAAAAACAAGTTATTTTCAGACCTTTGCAAGGTATTTCCTTTTATAGTAATACCACTCTACACCAAAATATCCCGTCAGAATAAGTACTTTCAACCTAAATGACTCCTTTGTACAACATAAAATTCTTATATTATACAAGACGTTAATATGTGTGTATTTAAAAATTTTTTAAAAATTCAGAAAAGCAGAGGGGCAAGACTTTTAATTTATTCTCTTCACTAGCCTGCTTTAACCCTTTGATGTTTCCATAGATTGAACTGTACAGTTTTGTTTGTTTGGGGGGGGGATTTCTTTTCTTTTCTTTTCTCTCTTTTCTTTTCTTTTCTTTTTCTTTCTTTCTTTCTTTCTTTCTTTCTTTCTTTCTTTCTTTCTTTCTTTCTTTCTTTCTTTCTTTCTTTCTTTTCTATCTATCTATCTATCTATCTATCTATCTATCTATCTATCTATCTATCTATCTATTAATGGAGGTACTAGGGATTGAATCAGGATCTTGTGCATGCTAAGCATGCACTCTACCACTGAGCTATACCCACCCCCCTTGAACTTGGCAGCTTTGTGAACAAATTTCCAGGCCTGCTCTATGTGTCAATGGACTAGTTACATGCTTGCTGTTTTACTGAAAATGCTATTATACTCTACACATTCTTTTGAAACTTACTTTGCTTTCTTTTCTCTCGAAATGTACCAAAAACTGTTCTCCCATGTCAGAATCTACAGATTTGCCCAGTTCTTTCAATGTGTCGACTGAAATAAATGCGCAGCCTATAAGTTAAAAGTTATGTTTTATTTGGCGGGAGGACTCGAGCCGGGATGACAGCCTCTCAGATGGCTCTGAGGGACTGCTCCAAAGAGGTAGGAGAGGAGCTAGGATATATAGGAGCTTTACAACAAAGACCAGGTAGTTGGAACAATAAAAGATGACTTGTTATCTAAAGAAAACCAGGCATCTCAAGTTAATTCAGTGCTTTTCTATGTATGGGAGGAAGCAAACATTTGGGCTCACTGAATTCATTCCTTTGACAAGCACCTAGCTATCTAGGGCCAGTATCCTCTCCTTTCTTATTCTGAGTCTGCTCCGAGTGCACCATTGTGAGTGGCTGCAGAGGCTGGGCTGCAGGCCTGTCCTCACTCGGGGGTGGCCGCAGCCGCTGATGACTTGGTTTCAGCATTCTTTGTTTACTGATATGTTTGCAGTATTTTCATTCACATTGGAGTATTTTCGTTCACAAATGGCTGCATCATATTCCATAGCGTGAATGCTCTACCACTTTTTTACAGTTTCATTATTTACGAACTTTATGTTCTTTCCCTTTCTGCCATCGTGTTCAGCTAGCTTTTGCATTACCTTTTCTTTTCTTTTTCAGGGTTACCTTGGCTTTCATTGGGATCAGTTTGTTGGTTATGGGAACCACGTTGGTTGGACAGCTGCCGGAGAGCAGGTGAAATATTTCCTTCCTCCCAGCCATTAATAGGATTGTCCATCTTCTTAGCTGTGTCCACAAAGAGAATATTTGTTTCTTTTTAAAAATTTTTGGTATATTCTTCATGTTTTTTATTTTGAATCAATACATAGCTGTGTTATATTGTAACCTAATGATTGGTATATAACCAAGTACTTAACTTTTTCTTTTAAATGGGAGGAGGTGAGAGTATTTGTTTCATTCCTATGTACTGCATCAAAGTGATGGCCTTGGCACGTGTATTAAAATGTTGCTCAATTCATCTTCATAGTCTTCAATTATTTGATTTCCCATCATGCCTTCATATAAATTGAAAGAAGTTGTTTTTTCAAAGGAGAAAAGATGAGAAGAAAGAAAATAGATTAAGGAACTCAAGGAAAGCAAGCGAGTCTTACAGTATTGTCAAGCTCGTAGGGCCAAGACCAAAGACGCTTCAGCTTGTCTTGGTCAGGAATGGAGACTGACAGTCTGGTAGGGTGGGAGCTTTCTTCCATTAGAGTTTTGTCCTCCAAGAGACTTAGGAATCGACTGTGCTTTTACTTCAGAACACAGTAGGCTGTTGTGAAGGAGCACATAAAAGCTTCTATTATATTGTTTTTGGGGGGTGCCCAGAGCTGCACAATGAAATATTTTCTCTTTCTTTCAGCCTCAAAAACTGGCTGAGTGAACTGGTCCACCTGACTTGCTGCAGAATCTGTGTTCGTGCCCTCTCTGGTACCATTCATTATCATAACAAGTGAGTGGGTGCTGACTTCCAGCCTGCCTCTCTCTGGGTAAATCCAGCCTGTGATTGACAGCCGTGGGTGGGAGGGAGCAGGTGAAAGAGGAGTACTTCCTGTGTGTTCATCCCTTCTGCTTAGTGTCACACACATAGCAGGGCACAAAAACACTTTTCAAAAGCAATCCATTTGCAGAGGGACCATAATAATAAACATGCAATGACACTAAATAATTGGGCATTTATGGTGTGCAGGCCAGGTGTGTGCTTCTCATCTGCCATCCCATTCAGAGAGGCGCTGTTTTCCTGTTTCATGGGTAAAGAAATGAGAGCTCCGGGACTGGTTGTCTAGGGTCACGTGGCTAGTAAGTGGCAGAGCCAGGTTTTGCACTGGGTCGATTAAAAAATTTCTAAATGGTGAAATAAATGAGCCTGTAGGATGGGAGAAAGAGGACTGGACTTGGCAGGAGTCTTGAGACCTGGTTTCTAGTCTCAGCCCTGCGACTTATAAAATTCCATAACTGAGCCTTAAAACAGAACAAAGAGGTTAAAGGAAGCAAGTGAAGTTATTAGCTACATGAAAGTCATTTTGATTGTTTTTGAGTTACTCTTCTGTTAACTCAATTTTATTTTTCTATATTTAACATCATTGTTTTAAAAGTCCTAGGACAAGCCTCTCTTTTTTACTGACTGGATCTTTCTTTCTCTTTTCTAGAAGGGACACATTTCATCATTTGGCTTTACCATGTGTTACCAACGTAAAAGGCCACTTAAATTTCTAAAGTTATATGATTTTGTGATTGGGCTATGAATTTTTTTGGTGGGGAGCAGAAGAAAATTGGTAAAATTTGGTAAAATTGTTATCAGAGGTGATATCTTCTACAGAAGAGGTGCTTTAGTTACATAGAGAGGAGTTCACAACTTCTAATTTTCAGGAAAGCATGTCAAAGTTGTTACGCACGTGGCTCCCTTTCTTCTCTGTATAGGCCCAAGGAAAACTGCTTTGCTTCATCAGTGTCAAATACTGTTTGTTAACTTTAGGACAGAGGTCAGCAAATTACACTATGGGCCTGTAGGCCAAATGTGGCCTGCTATCTGGTTTTTGTAAATAAAGTTTTATTGGAATACAGCCTTGCTCATTCATCTCCATATTATCTATGGCTTCCTTTGTGCCAAACAGCAGAGTCCAGGAGTTTTGACAGAGATTGGCCGGCTTGCAAAGCCTGAAGTATTATTATCTGGCCTGCGATAGGAAAAGTTTGCCAACTTCTGCCTTAGGGTGATAAGAGGGAGGGAACGATAGTAAATTTACTCTGTGAATCCCAATGAAGCCACTAAAAGTGATGCATATGAAGACTGAAATAATATGAAAATACTTATGATAAAATAAGTAAAACTTATGTATCATAAAATTGATTAAACTTATAGAATCTTTGTAATTAAGTCTAATATTTTAAAATTATTTCTTCATTGTAGAAGGACTCTATGATCATTACAAAAAAAGCAACATAAATATATGTAAAAGGGAAATCATGAGTCATTTCACCTGTACTCTTAGCCTCCTCCCATCGTACTGCCTAGAGACATCCTTTTTAAGATGGGCCCATCTTACTTTCTGTTTTTAGTGTACTTTTTAAAACAAAACAGGATGAATTTCTACCTGCCATTCTGCAAAACAGTAACTCTTTTTCAAGGTTGAGTATGTACTACTGTTTGTAATTGCAGGCAGTACAAACCCCAGAAGGGAGGCATTTGTGTTGCCAACCACACGTCCCCGATAGATGTTTTGATCTTGACAATGGATGGGTGCTATGCTATGGTAAGAGCCGCTCATTGATGTTTCAAGTAATTGCATGCATTATGGACTGTTGAAACTTCTATTTTATTTTGGCACAAATTAGAAAGTTACTTTTATATTAGAAAGTGACTGGGTTATATACTACTGTAGCTATGTAAGTTATGTAATATATTTACATGAGGAATATATAGTGCAAGAAAAAGAAAGAAAATTATATTTTTCTTTATATTTAAGGTAGTAAGAAGTTAATTGACTGAAATGTAGACATATGTGAGCTTGATAGGACTTTTTTTTTTTAATTGAAGTATAGTTGATTTACAGTGTTTTGTTGGTTTCTGGTGTGCAGCATAGTGATTCAGTTGTACATATATATAGGTTGTTACAAAATATTGAATACAGTTTCCTGTGCTATACAGTAGGTCCTTGTTGTTTATTTATTCTATATATAGTAGTTTGTATCTGCTAATCCCAAACTCCTCATTTATTCCTCCCCCACCTTCCCCTCTGGTAAATCATAAGTTTGTTTTCTATGTCTGTGAATCTCTTTCTGTTTTGTAAATAAGTTCATTTGTGTCATTTTTTTAGCTTCCACATATGAGTGATATCATATGATATTGTCTTTCTCTGTTTGACTTACTTCACATAGTGTAATAATCTCCAGGTCCATTCATGTTGTTACAAATGGCATTATTTTATTTTTTATGGCTAAGTAGTATTCCATTATATTTATATACCACAACTTCTTTATTCAGTCATCTTTTGATGGACATTTAAGTTGCTTCTATGTCTTGGCTGTTGTAAATAATGCTGCTATGAACATTGGGGTGCATTTATCTTTTTGAGTTGGATTTTCCTCTGGATATGCTCAGGAGTGGGACTGCTGAATCGTATGGTAACTATTTTTAGTTTTTTAAGGAATCTCCATACTGTTTTCCATAGTGGCTACACCAATTTACTTTCCCACCTATAGTGTAGGAGGGTTCCCTTTTCTCCACACCCTCTCCAGCATTTATTGTTTATGGACTTTTTAATGATGGCCATTCTGACCAGTATGAGGTGATACCTCATTGTAGTTTTGATTTGCATTTCTCTGCTAATTAGTGAAATTGAGCATCTCTTCATGTGCTTATTGGCCATCTGTATGCTTTCATTGGAGAAAGATCTTCTGCTCATTTTTGGATTGGGTTGTCTTATTTTTGTTGTTATTGAGTTGTGTGAGCTGTTTGTATATTCTGGAAGTTAAGCCCTTGTCAGTCACATCATTTGCAAGTATTTTCTTTTCTTTCTTTTTTTTTTTTTTGCAAGTATTTTCTCCCATTCCATAGGTTATCTTTTTGTTTTGTTTATGTTTCCTTTGCTGTGCAAAAGCTTATAAGTTTAATTAGGTCCTGTTCATTTAGTTTTGCTTTTATTTCTATTACCTTGGTAGATTGACCCAAGAAAACATTGCTAAGATTTATGTTAGAGAATATTTTGCCTATGTTCTCTTCTAGGAGATTTATGGTGTCCTGTCTTATATTTAAGTCTCTAAGCCATTTTGAGATTATTTTTGTGTACGATGTGAGAAGTGTTCTAACTTCATTGATTTACATGCAGCTGTCCAGCTTTCCCAGCACCACTTGCCAAAGAGATTGTCTTTTCTCCTTTGCATATTCTTGCCTCCTTTGTCAAAGAGTGATTGACCATAGTTGTGTGGGTTTGACAGGACTTCATGAAGTTGATTACATCTTGCTTCTAAAATCCCTGCAATGTTTGGTGAACACTTTGAGACATTAAAATCTTCCTCCTTAGAGCTGTTCAAATCCCTTACCAACCAATTAGTTCTGTCTCCTTTCAAGTAGTCATATGCAATTCAAAAACAAAAAACAAACAACCTGGCTCTTTAATGAAGATCAAGCAAGAAAGGCAAATATTTATACCACATTGTCTTTCTCAGTTCTTGCCTGTAGCCCGAAAAGAAAAGAAAAAAAAAAAAACCCATCAACAAACCACAAAACCCACAGTAAAATAAATCAAATACCTCAAAAGACCTTTTTGTGGCACTTCTGGCATTTTTTCCACATCAAAGAATGTTTCTCTTACGCTGAAGAACTTGTCATGATTTCCTTTATCTCTTTCATGTACATGTCAGGTAAAATTTGGAGGATCACCGAAGGTGTCCTTTTTCCTTGTATGGTGGTAAATATGCCCTAAGCTGGTGTGTGGAGTATGGGAGAGGGATCCTGGGGAACTGTCTCTTCATATCGCACAGTAGTAGCTTGGGCTTCAGAGAGAACAGATGGTTTTTATGTCACTTGTCAGCTTCAGTGATGAGTAGTCATGGTCTAGTGTGCTTTTCTGGGAAGGCATTTGAAGGGAGCCATTAATTAATTAATTAATTTTTATTGAGGTACCAGTTTCTGCACAATATTATATAAATTTCAGGTGTACAACATAGTGATTCCCAATTTTTTTTTAATGGAGGTACTAGGGATTGAACCCAGGACCTGGTGCACACTAAGCACGCACTCTACCACTGAGCTATTTCTCTCCCCCTGCATAATTTTTAAAGGTTACATTCCATCTATAGTTATTATAAATGATTGGCTATATTCCCTGTGGTGTACAATATATCCTTGTAGCTCATTTGTTTCCTACATAGTAGTTTGTACCTCTTAATCCCCTACTGCTGTGACTGACAGTCATGGTCTGTAGTGCTTTTCTGGGATGGCATCTGAAGGGAGCCATTGTTGACTTAAGTGTCTGCTGCAGGCGGGAGAGTGGGGAGCGCTGGTAGTTGACTTGCCTACAGCCCCAAAAGAAAAGAAAACAAAACCCATCAACAAACTACAAAACCCACAGTTATACATGGGCTATATAATCATTGAGGGGGTTTTGAAGACCATTGTAAAAACTCCTAACTTATTGCCAGATATTTTATCTGTCTAAAATATAAATTTGGAAATATAACTCTTGGGTAACCACATTTTAACATGTTGTTAAATTTCTCTAAGTTGTGGAGCTTTTTCTGAATCCAAGGAAGCTTTATCCATCTCTCTGGAAAGACATGGGAATTGGTAGTTGTTAACCTTTTTTAGATTAGCAATCAGTTAACATTTATGTACCCCCTTTTTAGAAAAACAACAACATACATTTGCATCATACAAACCCAGTTTTGTGTATAATTTCTAGGTATTTATGGATCCCCGGAGAGCCTCTCCAAGGACGCTATGTTAACAACCATTGACATGCCCCAGCACAGTTCTGGGTGTATGTAATCATTCTTTGCATTTATGCAAACAAGCACTTTCATATCCATTGTATTTGCAACCCAAGGAGGTTTAAAAATCATGTACTAAATCCAAAGAGGTTAAGGCTGAGATTTTGTTATAGATGAGAAAACAGAGGTTTAGGCATCTTAACCAACTTCCCCAAAGCATGATTTTGTGTCTCTGAGACAATATTCATTCTGTGTCCTAGTTAACAGAGTTGAGTATAACTCATTTGTACCTGAGGACCTCAGAATTTTGTCCACATTTTCCATGCTTTTTCATCATATGTAGTAACTGCAATTATACTTGCAATATACAGTTGTGTAATTACAATATTAGCTAAGGTTTAGAAAAGCTTATAGTACCTGTGAACTTTCTGATGGGTTGAGTGATAAAGGCCTAAAGTCAGTTGGGTTTACAAACAACTCAATCCAAAAATGGGCAGAAGACCTAAACAAGCAATTCTCCAAGGAAGAAATACAAATGATCAATAGGCACATGAAAAAATGCTCAATATCACTAATTGTCAGAGAAGTACAAATCAAAACTACAATGAGGTATCACCTCACACCAGTCAGAATGGCTGTCATTCAAAGTCCATAAATAACAACTGCTAGAGAGGCTGTGGAGAAAAGGGAACCCTCCTACACTGCTGGTGGGAATGCAGTTTGGTGCAACCACTGTGGAAAACAGTATGGAGATTCCTCAAAAGACTAGGAGCAGACTTACTATATGACCCAGTAATCCCGCTCCTGGGCATATATCCAGAAGGAACCCTACTTCAAAAAGACACCTGCCCCTCAGTGTTCACAGCAGCACTATTTACAATAGCCAAGACATGGAAACAGCCTAAATGTCCATTGACAGATGACTGGATAAAGAAGCTGTGGCATTTGACACAACATTGTAAAATGATTATAATTCAATAAAAAATGTTAAAAAAAAAGAAGCTGTGGTATATTTATACAATGGAATACTATTCAGCCATAAAAACCAACAACATAATGCCATTTGCAGCAATATAGATGTCCCTGGAGAATGTCATTCTAAGTGAAGTAAGCCAGAAAGAGAAAGAAAAATGCCATATGAGATTGCTTATATGTGGAATCTAAAAAAAAAGAAAAGAAAGAAAAGAAAAAGACAAATGAACATAAGTACAAAACAGAAACAGACTCATAGATATAGAATACAAACGTGGCTGCCAGCGGGAAGAGGGGTGGGAAGGGACAGACTGGGAGTTTGAAATTCGTAGATACTGACATGTATATATATATAGAATCGTAAACAAGATTATACTGTGTAGCACAGGGAAATATATATAAGATCTTGTGGTAGCTCATGGTGAAAAAGAATGTGACAATGAATATATGTATGTTCATATATAACTGAAAAATTGTGCTCTACACTGGGAATTGACACAACATTGTAAACTGACTAACTCAATTAAAAAAAAAGTTGGATTTATCTTTTTAGATTTTTTTTTTGGTATATGTATTTATTGAAGTATAGTCAGTTTTTAAATTGTAGTTGATGTAAAATATTATGCTAGTTTCAAGTGTACAATGCAGTAATTTGATATTTATATATATTACAAATTGATCACCAGGATAAACCTAGTAACCATCTATCACTATACAAAGTTACTTCAACTTTATTTACTGTATTCCCTATGCTGTGCATTACATCTCATGACTTACTTATTTTATAACTGGAAGTTTGTACCACTTAATACCCTTCCCCTATTTTTGTCCCACTCCTCATCCCCATCCACTCTAAGCCAACTGGATGAAATCAGTCAGTAGAGGGCAGAAGTAGGAGAAACTGTACAGCTAACTTCCTGAAGTCATACTTGTCCTCTTTTGGCTAAACATAAGCTATGTATCTGAAGAGCATTCAAGATCTCTTCTTAGTGGCTTTACAAAGTTTTTTTTTTCCTCCTAAATAAAGACCTCTACTTTTTTTTAAAATTTAGAAATATTTTCTTACAGGAGAAATTGTAATGATAAGAATGTTACATTAAATATCCATAAGCCCTTTAACCACATTAACCTGTTGGTAACATTTTGCCCCATTTGCTTTATCATTTGCATTTTCATGTGCTGCTTTCTCTCTCTTGTAAATATGTGCATAAATGTTTCTATTACAATATGTTTATATTTCATATTCATGTATAATATTAATATATTGGAAATCTGAATCTATAGCATTTCACTCAACTCATGGAGTTCTTTCTCACTTTCCATCAATCTATGTTCGTATTTCCCTCTTTTCACAGTGGATACCTTGTTTCCTGACAGTATCAACGTGTTTGCTCGTTTTCTCCAGCCTGTAGTAGATCTAAAACTGTTTCAGAACTGCTTCACCTGTTTTACTACAAAAAACAAATGTAGTAAAATAATTCAGGGTACTTTGCAGTTCCTGGTACCCCACCTAAGATGGAGCGGATGTGGTCAAATACTGTCTTTGTAAATTTCTTGAGTTTTTCTCTCCCTCTTCCTTCAGGGTTCTTTATTCATTTGAAATACAGCTGGGTTCATTTGTTTAAGTTTGCTTGCACTTTGCTAGTCCTATTTTTGTTGATTTATTTTTTGAATTTGTGGGACATTAACATGCTTCTAAGTGTCAAAACTAAACAAAAAAGCTGCACTCATAGAAGTGTCAGTCCATCCATGTCTATTCTGCCCCATTTCCTCTGACCTTGTGAAATCTACAGCTTTGTTGATTTTGGTTATTTTTTCTTTTTGTAGAGATAAACAATGTGTATACTTCCCCTTCCATCTGACACAAAAAGTGGCACACTTCATTTGCTTTTTTGCAGTTTGCTTTTTTCACTTAACATCTCCTGGGAATCAGTCCTTACCAGTCATAAAGATCAACCTTGTTCTTTTCGTCGCTGCGTAGTACTGCATTGTGTGTATGTACCATAGTGTATTCATCTAAGTTCTTATGTTCAGACATGGAGGTATTTTTCAGTATCTTGCAATTACAGATAATGCTGCAATGAAAACCTTGTGTATGTATGTTTTCATTTTGTTGGAGGTATATCTGCAGGGTAGATTCCTAGAAGTGGAGTTACTGAGTTGAAGGGTAAGTGTATGTGTAGTTCTGATAGATACTGCCAAGTTTCCTTCCATGGGGGTTGTCCTCTCCCACATCCCAAGCAATGTGTGAGAGTGCCTGTTTCCCACAGCCTTGGCTCAGAGTGCATCGTCAAGCTTTTGCATCCTTATTAGTCTGCTGGGTCTGAAATCATTATTTCAGTGTAGTTTTAATTTGCATTTCCCTTACCTTGACTCAGCTGAAAGATTCCTACTTTTTAAAACTGAAGTAAAGCTAATGTAGCAACATAGCTCAAAATTCAAAGATGCTACTAAAGAACATTTTGTGCTTATATTTGGCTATTTATATTCTTTGAACAGATTAAGAACTTTAATCAGTAGAAGGTCAGTCTTTTCTCTGAGTGGGAAATAGGAACTAATAGGAACTAAAAAAAAAGGCATTCTCTGGACAGCTATGCCTTTACATTTTCCCCCTTTTTCTCATGGTTCTTCTAGGTTGGCCAAGTTCATGGTGGATTGATGGGAATTATTCAGAGAGCTATGGTCAAGGCTTGTCCACATGTCTGGTTTGAACGTTCAGAAATGAAGGACCGACACCTGGTTACTCAGAGGTAAGCAGTGGCATTACTCGGCATCCATGGGGGTAGCATAAAGTCTGATAAGTTGTGGCCTTCCTGCCAGAGAGGGCTAAGCGGCACCAAGGGCTCAAACTGCAGCATACGGAGCTCTGTTTATGGTTGGCCTTTTCTAGTGAATCACCTGTCTTAGCTAGATTTAAAGATTTTTTAATTCTGTAGTCATAGTGGGATATACAATGAGATTAAAAGGCCAGTACATTTATATTGCCGGGATTTACGGATAATCCAGTCACTGAATTTTTAAAGCTAAAAATTACTGCTTGAAGGTAAATAATTGGTAACTGTTGGCTGGATAAACAGATGGCTGATTAAGTGTTTGCTGAGTGACCGTTATCACTTAAATCCGTCTAGAGACAGACAGACCTAATGCTCTTCATGGAACAGGCGAAGGAGCTCCTGGGACTTGGGATGGAGTTGAGCTGCCTTTGTTTGGAAACAGCTTTTGCCTTTTAACTGAAGACACTGTAGTCCTCGCTTCTGTAGGGGTGAAGGTGGGCCATGCGTTTAAGAGTAAAAATGAAAGTACCTGAAGAAATTTCTTTAAGGTTGGGAAACTGTTCCCCATCTTGGAATGATTTAGCAGTGGTATACACTCTGGCAGCTGTAGTCTCTCTATCTCAGCTTTACCAGCTTCCAGTGAGCAGCTGGAAATGTAGGGCTGGCCGCAGGCAGGGCAGGACCTAAGCTTGGGAGAACTTCTTTCATTCTTAGTTTTATGGTGTGTGTTTCACAGAAAAGTTCAGCCTGACTCACTGAAGGAGTTTTCTTATATTTAATGGTCTTGAGGTGGACAAGTCCCACAACCAATATTCCCACTTTTTAGATGAGAAAATATAAGTATGTGGAGAAAGGAACAAAGCTCATGACACGGGCTCGAGGGCGCACGTCACATGACTGCCTAGCACTCTTAAGAGTAGGCAGAAGGCACTGAAAATCACTCCTTGGAGATGAGAGAAATTGAAGCAGTGTACATACCCGTACACTTTTTTAGAAAGGGACCAATTTGAATTTCAGTCTGATTTCTTCTTACTGTGTTACAGTTATATTTGTGCTAGTAGAGTATAAAGAATACCAAAGAGGATTCCCACCTCTCTCTTTTTAAAGGTAGAATTCTGATCCTTTATTTTTCTTCACAGACTAAGAGAACATATTGCTGATAAGAAAAAATTACCCATATTAATCTTTCCTGAAGGTAAGAAGGGGGATTGCTTACCAAGCTATAGTTGATGACAAGTACCAAAAGTGTATGAGGAATTGGATTGTTCTAGAATTGGCATTCTTAGTTCAGATCTGTGCTGTCCTACAGGAATGAGATGGCTTCTGAGCTAGTAATTCCCTGCTTCCTTTTGAGATTTAATGGCAGTCATGGTACTTTTTTTGATCTTAGAATTTATGTTTGGGTAATGAACTTAGAAAGGCATTGTCCATAACTTTTTAAGGTTCCTTATTTTAAATATATTGAAATTATCACCTATTGTGTATCTCTAGAATATTCAGTAATAAAGTAAAAATTTATTAGTAAATCTGCTTAAAACTGTTGAATTACTACTTAAGCAGAAATTGATTTATGAGATGGTAGTAAAATGTCTATAATTGTGATATAATGTGAATATTTTCAATTATTTTATATCAAAATAATTCATTTAAAAAAATCAGTTTAAAAATTGACTGCTTTAAAAAATATTCACCCATCCCCCCAATTCCCCTCCAGGAACTTGCATCAACAATACTTCAGTAATGATGTTCAAAAAGGGAAGCTTTGAAATTGGAGGAACCATACATCCAGTTGCAATTAAGGTAAAAAAGATTATCCACCCCTACCCTCCCCAAAAGGGCAGTAACTTGGTAACTTTATTTTGATATGATTCCAAACTTAATAAAGAATACTTGTGTGCTCTTTACTCAGATTTACCAGTTGTTTGCACTTGCCCCACTTGCTCGATCATCTTTTCTCTCTATTGATATGTATACAGTATGTACCAGGGGACTGTGTGCCGGGCCAGTGCTCCAGAACTGAGGATACACTGATAAGCAAAACAGATGCTGTTCCTACTTTGACCCGCTTTCCAGTCAGGTCGGGAGACAGATATTTAAGGGTCATGTCAATAACCTCCCTATTGCAGCGTTCCTGGCTCTAGGCAGAGGAGTTATCTGACCTGGTTTACTCTTTTGATCATTTCTGTCCAGTGAAATAGCTTTTCTCTTTCTCTTGGGGTCTGATAGAGATGTTTGGCTTGTTAGCCATTAACATGGATGAGAGAAGCCGCCGTTTAATTTTTAACTGGAATGCATTTTCTTTCCTCTTTTCTCAGTATAATCCTCAATTTGGCGATGCATTTTGGAACAGTAGTAAATACAACATGGTGAGCTACCTGCTTCGAATGATGACCAGCTGGGCCATTGTCTGTGACGTGTGGTACATGCCCCCTATGACTAGAGAGGTATTCCATAGATAATGGCTTTATCTAATCAGATAAAGACAAGAAAACCTTTACCTGAAAACCTGGGTATCTGTCTTCCTCACGTCAGCTAGAGTTGGACTTTATTTCTGCCTCCTCAGCAAATGAGTCATTGAAAATAAATATATTTAGCTCTCTTCAAAATCAGTCTGTTTTTGTATTCAGAGACTCTTTTCTGTAAGAATTGCTATCGGTTCATTGAATTGCTATTTGGTTTTTTTTTTTTACTAATTGCTATTGGTTCATTGAACCTACAAATGTTGTGGAATGTTGTATCTCGAATAAGACTAACAAAGAGCATAGTAAATATATATATATATATACACATCATAAAAAATTAAACAATATAGCACTACATTTTCTTGATAGAACAAATATTTGCTGTGATTCAGAATAGAGAATATTTGAGCTAAAATGTGAATCTTATATTTTAAAACAAATCTAAATGATTATGGGATATTTGAAAGCATTATTTGAAGATTCTGTCCCCAGGATGTACTTGTAATTTTTTTTTTCCCAGAAAGGAGAAGATGCAGTCCAGTTTGCTAATAGGGTTAAGTCTGCTATTGCTGTACAAGGAGGATTGACTGAGCTTCCCTGGTAAGACATTTTCAGTACTGTCATTTTTTAAAAATTAAAAACCCAACTTTTTCGGAGAGGGGAGGGTATTAAGCTTTTATGTATGTATGTATGTATGTATGAATTGAACTCGGGACCTTGTGCATGCTAAGCACATACTCTGCCACTGAGCTATACCCTCCCCTCTAAAAACCCAACTTTTAATAATGTCATTTATTATTGCTAGTTCGCTGGAGGTTTAGCTGACACTGACAGTGGTTTATACAGCGTTAACCATGTCTTGAATAAGGTAGAGTTTTATCCCCCTCACTTAACCATAGGCAGTTCAACTGGTATAACAGCTCATTTGGTATTCGTCTACCATCCTCAGTGTGCTTCTACTTTATGGTCCAGGGCAGCTGCTTCAGCTCTACCCAGTGAGTACAACAGAATGGCCAGCAGGGAAGAACTAAAACAAGAAGGATGTACTCATGTCTTTGGGAACCTCAGGCGGGAAGTTGGACACGCCACCTCCACTTGTATCTGTTGACTAGAACTCAAGTCATGTGATAACACCTTGATGCAAAGGGCTCTGGGAGATGTAGTCTTTGTTCTGTATGGCCATGTGTCTAGCTAAAATTAAGAATTCTTTCACTGAAGAAGAAAGTGTGAATGGATTTGAGCATGGGGTATGGACCTTGGGAGGCGAGGGGCAACCCCCAGGCTTGTGCATATTTAACTCTAGCTATAACTATGTTAAATAAAACTTAAAAACTTGACAGGAAGTAAGTGAAATATTTTTAGTTATGGATAACTATAGCTTTAGTTTTTTGTTCATTTGTTTGAGGAAGACTGAGTGTAGTTGAGTGTCAGTTTGCTCAGGCTGCCAAAACAAACTACCATAGACTGGGTGACTTAAGCAACAGAAATTTATTTTGTCGCAGTTCTGAAGGCTGGAAACTGTGTGATGTGTCTTCTTATAAGGGCACTATATCCATCTTGAGGGCCCAGTGCTCATGATCTTATTTAAACCTAATTAGCTGCCAAAGGTCCCATCTCCAAATACTGTATTTTTTGGGGTTAGGGCTTCAGTATGAATTTGGGGGAGCACACAAACTTTTAGTCTGTGTCAGTGAGGGTTAAATGTACCTATGTTATGATGGGGGATTAAATTTTTACACACACATAGACATTGTATTTCGTAGACTGGCATAAAACAGTCCATACTTCAAGGCCTACTAATATTAGGTCCCTGCTGTTTATCTTTTTGGTGTTTTGAAAACATGTGATGTGGAAAGTTCATGGGAGTCAATTTTGGCAGTGTTCTAGCAGCAGGATGTGGCTAACCAAGTCAGGCTCTCAGCCAGGCAGCCAAAAACATCTGAACACATGGAGGGACCCAGGACTGTTTAGGGATTAAGCCTCTGGTAGAAGAGCCAGCTGGATTCTTATGTACCCTTTAATGCAAGGGGGAGGGGATTATCTCTAAAATACTTAATCCATTCACGTATCTTGAACACAGCTAATTTCACTCAGGGAAGACTTTCTGGCATCCATTATGCTAATTAATAAGCTATTAATTTCTACAGTAAAAACCTATTTCTAAAATTCATTATGCTACTTATAAAGCTTGGGAGGATGATGGGAGAACAAGGTAGCTGAAGGCTTATAGTGGTACCTCTGGAGGGTGGCCTTCTGACTACATGCTTGGCTGACCCCTCTGGGAGTATGAGTTCTTGATTTAGGGCAACTGACTGGCCTTAAGGTCAGGATTAGGGTTAACAGGACTGGGACATTATGCTGTACGTCAGAGACTGACACATTGTTAACTGACTATACTTCAACAACAAATAAAATAAAATAAAATGAAATAATTTAAACAAAAAAAGAGTAGGGTTAAGATGGGTTAAGACCAACATTTGTGTTACGTTCTCTACACTGGAATATGTGAAACTAAATTACACACATCCCACCATCATGAAATGACAGGCTTACCAATGCTGTAGTTTATAGATGCCCTAGTGACCCATGTTCTTGTATCTTCCTTGTTCATTGTTTTCTAGTCTTTATCCCCCTACCTCTTGCCTGACACCCTAGCCCTGCTCCTGCCCTGAAAAGCTTAGAGCTTTGGATCTATAGCCTCAGATAACAAGGAAAGGAAGAAAACTTTGAGAAACAAAATAGCCTAAGGGAGTTAGCCCCAGGACAGACTCTCAGTCAGACTGGCTTGAATAGAATGGCAAAAGTAACGCTCAGAGTTTTAACATTTCCTTATATCAGGCCATATGTGATTTTATAATAAAAGGTTGTTTTTAATTACCTAGTCTCTTCTTTAAAAAGAAAATAGGCTCACTGCCTTTCCAGATGTATTTGTCATTCATCCATCAGGTGTGAATTAGCATGTCTAGATTGTTTTTTTTCCTAGATTAAGTGAGAATTTACTTGTATCATCTTAAACTGGCTTTTATTTATGGCTGCTGTCCTCCTTAAGAACTAAGATCTGAACCCTCCTACACTGTTGGTGGGAATGGAAATTAGTGCAGCCACCATGAAGGACAGTATGGAGGTTTTCCTTAAAAAAACTTAAAATAGAATTACCATATGATCCAGCAATCCCACTCTTGGATTATATCTGGAGAAAACTCTAACTCGAAAAGATGTTCATAGCAGCACTGTTTACAATTGTCAAGATATGGAAGTAACCTAAATGTCTATCGACAGATGACTGGATAAACAAGTTGTGGTATGTCTATACCATTGAATATTAGTCACAAAAAAAGGAAATAATACCATTTGCAGCAAAATGGCTTGACTTAGAAATTATCATACTAAATGAAGTAAGTCAGAGAAAGATAAATATCATATGATATCACTTATATATGGAATCTAAAAAAAATGATACAAGTGAATTTATTTACAAACCAGAAGCAGACTCATAGACAGAAAACAAACTATGGTTCCCAAAGGGGAAAAGGATGGAGGGGAGGGATAAAATAGGAGTTTCCACTTAACATATACACACTACTATAATATAAAGTAGATAAAACAAGGACCTACTGTATAGCACAGAGAACTATATTCAGTATCTTATAACAACCTATAATGGAAAAGAATCTGAAAAAGAATATGTGTAATATATATATATGTGTATATGTATGACTGAATCACTTTGCTGTACACTTGAAGCTAACACAACATTGTAAATCAACTATACTTCAGTTTAAAAAAAAAAGAACTAAGATCTGCTGCCATGGCAAAAGGGAACTGGGTAAAACTTTGAAGTCTCTAGGGGTGGCCAGTCACAGCTGGGGTGCTTAGAGTAGTGTGCGGTTTCCTGGGTGCCTGGGAAGGAGAATTGTTTAAAAATGATGTCAAGATGGTAAAGGACAAATGTTGCTAACTTTGAATTTTTGTCCATTTTGGCTTGGACCACAGGGAAGGATGACTGGCCTTCCTTCTGTCTCTCCCTCCCTTTCTTAGTTCTTACTAGTCCGAATTCACATGAATGCTGCGAAGTGTTAGAGGCAGCTCATTTGGATAAAGGGCTCCTGTGGACAATTCTGGAGACCTAATGACAACTTATAACCTGATTTCATGGAAATTTCCTACAACTGACCTCCTGGCAGATTTGTGGATGGAAGTCTGTTTTTAAGTTGGGGCCGTCCTGGTGGGCTGTGTCTTAGTTTTGACTCTAGAGGCCAGAACGTTGCACTGGGCTCAGGCAGGCTTCTGTTTGTAGGTCAAGTTCTGACTTCACGGCATTGGGTTCACTGGCTAACCTATGATCCATGCATCACCATTAGAGAGCACTTGGTAAACATTTGTGCCTAGCTGGGTTAAAATTAAACAGGCAGAGTATAAAGTAAGCAAGTTCTTGGTCCACGGTCTCCTAGGAGTTAAAATCTAAAACGTTAGATTAGGAGAGAGATAGTAGCCCCTGATCATCCAGTCTCCTTCCAGCTCATCGAGCTTGTTGTTCCTTGGTGCTGCCCAAAGAAGGAAAGGCACGCAGGGTCCTTATAACCCAGGCAGGTCTGTGTTTTCATCACCCTGAAGAGAGTTCAAAGATTCACAGGCTCTGAATTAAGGAATGCTGCTGACTTCGGCACTACTACTGTTGAATGAAATTTATGTTTTTCTTACCTGTCTTACTCTGAGTGTGTTTTGGAATATGGAAGATCATAAATACTTGAAATATAGTGCTTTGAATGAAAACATGACTTCTCAGACAATAGGATTAGATTTGAATACTGATGAGCCCCATTTCTCTGTAAGGAATTTATCCACACACGCAGAGTACCCTCACCATTTCTTGTGTGGATATTTAAAATTTTCCATCTGATTTTCTGCTAAGATATAGGTCGATTTAGATTTTTTTTAAAAAAAGTATTTTCCTTTCCGGGGGAAAAGATAGGTATATGGTATCCAAATACTGAATAGAGGAGCCCTAGCTTCTGAAAAGAAACTGAGTAGAGAAATTGTTCTTTATTTTAACCAGACATCAGAGAGATTGTTCCTTCCATAAAGTAACACACGTCTGGTTAAGTGGTAGCGCAGAGGTCTACCTCTGACCCAGAAATCTGGGTCTTTGTGCTTCCAAGTCCGGTGTACTTTGCCTCATCGCTGACCAGCTGCCTAAGTGTCATGGCACCATGCAGCACGCGTTAATAGGTAACCCTTGTAAATCACCACTGGGAGTATCTTTGATTTATTTGTCTTTCTGTTCTCAGGGATGGAGGGCTGAAGAGAGCCAGGGTGAAGGACACCTTTAAGGAAGAGCAGCAGAAGAATTACAGCAAGATGATTGTGGGCAACGGATCTCTCAACTCAGAATCGAACTGAATGCCACCCTGGCTTTCCAGAACTAGTCTTTAGAAACCGAATGTGGCAGGGGTTGTTTTTTGGGCTTTGTTTCACTGTTTTCGTTCTTTTATTGTTAATCTTTTCTAAAGGATGATTGTCTCTACCTCTTTATGCCAGAGGCAGAAGCCACAAAAAGGTGCCCTTTTTGGCTTTTGTTGTTATAGCATCAAGCTCGTGAACTGTAAGGTGGTTTACTGGGTTTAACAGATTCTGCCTTTAGTAAGACGATTGTGTCATTGTGGATTGAGTGAACTATTTGTACGGGCAGAAAAAGTGCTTCTAAAACACTTCTGGAACGAGTTGTGTCTGGAACTCGTTGATGGGGTAATTCTCGGAAAAGGTACTCCAGTTTTTGTTCATAATTAGCTTTCTCACGCCCTTTCCCCCCCTCCCTTTAACCACTTAAACAGGGATTACATGTCAGTTCAGGGTTGCTGTCATGGTTTTGTTTTACCACAAGGTTGGAAAGAAAACTGGGGACAGTTTTTAAGAGAAAGGACAGCTTTGTGGCCACTTGATCCGAAAGTCAAAAGGAAACGTACATATTTTTTACTAGCTTGTCGGTAGAGACATACTATTTGGTGAGCTTTACCAAAGAAAAGTGAGTCCACGTTACTGCGTGTGCACATTTTTATGTAGGCAACTTGCAAATAAGCACGTTAGCCAGCAACTGGTGATAAAGTTTTCCTTGTTTGTGTGCTGAAGACCCATACTTAAAGGCCTCTCCCGTCTACTAACTAGGTTGTTTGACCTTGTAACCAACACATTTTCAAATAGGAGGAGCCTTTTACAACAACAGCAGATCACACTGAGTGTCTTCAGCGCAAGTAGGAGTGAGTGAAGTGTGTGGCCCTGGCCCTCCCCGTCCACCTCTTGGTCTTTATTTCAGAACTCTCCTAGTTTGTTAAACAGGAAAATAAGGGGTCGAATTACCTTTTGGAACCTGAGCCTTAAATTTTTTAAAGGGGAAAATGTGTTTTCAGCCTCAGCAGCGTAAGCAGTGTTTGACAGCAATATAATGCCATCGGGTGTGCTCTCTCCGGGTAACCATGTACGAAAATGTGAAACTGTCTTAACGGTGAATACAAATCAATTCTATATTTCTAAATATGTGTTGCATTATTTTCCCCACACGTCTGCTCTTCTGATTTGGAGTAATTTCTGTTCTTTCTTATTACAAAGAAGGATCGTTTGTTTTCCATTTTCATGACATAGGTTTTATTGGACTTGAATATCTAGGAAATGAGAAACATGAACCACTGGTTTTGATTTGTGGGTTTTTTTTTTTTTTTTTATCAACCTAGTTCTGGACTCTGGGCTGGTGGACTGCATGTTGATCAGAGTCACAGATTGAGTTATCTTGCAGGTGAGCTCCGGTGATGCTCTCTCGGCTGGCGCTGGGCTTGCTACAGTGCTCTCAGTGTGTGTTCTTACCAAGCTAGATGGAACCGATCCCAAAAGAAAATTTGCGAACAGGGGACCCTCAACGGTCAGCTGTGCTTTTCTTCTCACTCCTCACCCCCATCTTTCCCTTTTTTGGGGGCTCCCCCAAAACTCTCCTGGAGGTGAACTGGATTGAAAATCAGCAAATCCGAAGAAGTGTGTTGGGGTGACTCTTTGTCCTGTTTGTTTTCTCTCTGAAGATTTTCTTTTTCTTTTTCTTTCTCATATTCAGTGTAGTTTGAATTGATAAATCCATTTTATTAATTAGGCCAGTTCTCAGAAAAACCATTAGAACAACTAACAGCTGTTTTGTCTGGCCACTGGTAATATGTCTTTTCAGGAGCGCTGTGAAAGCAATAATGCTGGCATGTTTTCACTAGAAAAATCTAATGCTGTTTCACTCAGGACCTTTGTCTTGTAGGTCTTGACTTAGAGGATTAGTTTTCAAGTTATTTCAGGAATTACTGTGATACTGAAAACGTTTCTAGAAAGCAAATACTGCCCAGATTTAGCTTATGCTCCCTAAAGCGCCTTTTTTTGACTTGCCTTCCCTAATATTGTTTTGTGCTCACTTTAGAGGTGTCATGCCCAGAGCTTAGTATCCTTGAGTCTTCTGTAACTGTCTTAGGATATCAAGGGTAGGCAGGGTTTGGTAGAAAAATCCCATTAGGTAAGACCTTTCATTGAACCCTTGCATAGATCCATTCATTGAGCCTTGAGGTTGCGTCTTTTTTCCCACCTCTTTGTCTTGGTGATATTTACAGACACTGGGTTTCAGGAACGCCAAGGGTTTCTGAAATGTCCTGGCATATCCTGGGATTGGATGAGCAGCCATGTCTGAATCAGCAAGTACACTCAGAGCATAGGGGAAATGATCCCGGATCACAGCCTGGTGCAAAGAACATTCTCCAGCAGTTTCTTGTATAAGCAGACTTTCCAAGACCTATTCAGTTTTGTCTTGGTGGTTTGCCGTTATCCCCTCGGTGCATACGCTGCACTTGGGCATTCTTTTGATATCTGGAAATAGATGCTAAGGGCTGTTGTTTTCTTAGGACTACAGATCATGTACCCTGGTCATGAGGGCTGCCTCTTGACCAGAATTGCTCTTGGTGGTGGTTTCAGAAAATGTATTTTCTTAAATGTGGTACTGCAGTCCTAACCTGCTTCCTGCTGGGTCTGAGCAGATTGTGATGGGAGGCCCGGGTTAGGGCTGGGGGAAGGCTAGGATCTGGGATCTGTACTGAAATCTAGGGGCTCTATTAGGAACTTGACAAAAGCTATGTGCTCGCTCTTGTGTTTTTAACACTGGTTTCTAG